AGGTCAAAGTTTATTTGTACCCACCCACTCTTCGTGATACTCAACCTCTCTTTGAAAGCTCTATCTAAAAATTGTCATGTCCCAGGTTAAAGATGAATTTAGATTTGGGAGAAAAAAATGGATCCTTCTTCAAGGTTTAAAGGGGTTAACGAGGGATTACCTTCCTTATATCTCCAGTGTTTGGGGATTTGAAACAATGCCTTACATCATCAGTAGGGTTTTATTCAAAAGCATACAACAAGAGATCTCGCGTTTTACTTCGTCATCCTCCCTTTAATTCTTCATCAAAGTGAGAAAAGTTGGGTAAAGTTGGCATTATAAATCATGCAGAAGCAATTTATGAGTGGGTACAAATGGGTTCCTTCAAGATAAACATATTTATTGCATTATCGTTCAAAATAAACAAGTTCTTACATGCCAATTATGCTTTTATAATCAAAGAAATAAAATACACATCAACAAATAAAATAAACAATTTGATGAGCCCTTCTCTTAATTTAACGGCTTGAAAAGAATTTTTTTAAGTCTTTATCAACATAAAGGTGTTCCATTCATGACTGGACTTCCTCCTTCGAAGGTTAGCACTTCATCATCAATCACTTCCTGAACTTTTTCCTGGAAAACCTTGCACTCAATCAAATGCCCCATTATTCCATCATGAAACTCACAACTAGTGTTTGGATTGAACCAAGGTGGGTGAGATTTCATGGTTCTAGTCTTTCTGGGCGTCATCACTGAGTTTCAGGCAAAATAAGACCATAGTTGACTGTAAGTCATTGGGATGGGATTATATTGACGGGTTTCTCCTTTTGGATTACTTAGAGGCGTCTGTTGATTTTGAAATTGATTTCGAACCCGTCGATTCTGGTGTTGATCTAGAGAAGTCAACCTCCGCCGTCGATACAGAAGTCTAGGAGATAGTCGCTGCTTGCGCTGAACAGGAGCGGCATATCGATGTTGACGATAAGGTATTAGAACTAGATCTGGCAGGATTTGAGAGTAGTCCCAAATTATGTTAATATCAACACTTCCTTCCTCTTGGGAATCACTAACTGACCTTTCTTCATTAGCTTGGCTATTCGAGTCATCTCAGATTCTTCCAGTTTTGAGTGCGCTCTCGATGTTGACTTCCACAATTTTGGAGAACTCTAATGGCACAACGCCTACCATCCTATCATAATAAGAGTCTGACAGTGTTCTTAGAAACATCTTGGTTAGTTCTTTCTCTTGAAGCAACGAATGAACTTGGGCTGCCAATTCTTTTCATCGTTGTACATATTCCCTGAAGGATTCGTTGTCATTCTTACTCATGCTTATCAGTTGATCAATGTCTGGAGCCATATCCAAATTGTAATTGTATTGCTTCACAAAAGCATCAGCTAAATCTTCCCAAGACTAAACGTGATTCCTTTGTAGCTTCATATACCATATCAAGGACGCCCCACATAAACTTTCTTGAAAGCAGTGAATCATCAGTTTGTCATTGTCAAAATAAGCAGTCATCTTTCGATAAAACATCGTCAAATGGTATCTTGGACAACTAACACCCTTCAAAGACAGGCATCTTGAACTTTGGAGGAATAATTACACCTGGAACTAGACATAGGTCATGAGCCTTAAGACCAGTTGCATTAGCTCATTTCATCATCTTCAATTGTTCCTCGAGGTCACGAAATCCTTTCTCAATTGCTATAATTCTAGGATCGTCTACCTTTATCTCTATATGAACATTCTGAGGATCTGGCATACAATGTGGAAATTGGGAATCTCTTTCATCAACTTAAACGCATAGGTTATCTTGCATAGGTTGAGATTGTGTAGGAACATCTACTTGTTGAACATTGTCATCAGAGGGAAGATCAAATATCGGATTACTCATCACTTTGAAACCGGTCAGGGGATCCATTACTTCGAGCTTGGTCAGATGGTCAAGATGTCAGCTAATGATACAAAGACAGAAGGTCGGATGAGTTACTGCAGGGAGAGGACGCATGTAACTGCAAATGCTAAATGAGAGATGATATGCAAAAATGAAAAATGCAAATGAAAGGTGTCATGGAATTCAAGAATTTATAAACATCACAGAATATTAAAGAGCTCATTTATTATTTTTGACAAAGGATTACAAATAAATATTCTTAAAAAAATCCTGACATAACAGCTAAATAAAAGCTAATAAAGTCCTAAGAAAGTCTTGCATTGTGCTTCTTGATCTGCTCTTCTAGCTGGACCTTCTCGGAGATAAGCTTGTCCACGATCAAATTCCAAAAAGTGGTCTGATAGAGGAAAATGAATTCTCCCGCTCTTTTCTTTTCTTGTCAGAAAATAAGGAAGAAATCTGTTGTTCACCAGGATCTTGGATAATACCAAAAGCTTCTTGTCTTTGAACTTCATTTAATCTTCAATCTGAGTTCCTAACTCCCTTACGTCATCCATGTTAGAACTCTTAAAAGAATATTTCAAAGTATTTTTCCTTTTGTAATCCATATTGGTCTTGCGATGTTCATAAATAAAACTTTGAACTCCCTGAAACCAATGCAATATGATGCTTTATGAATGTAACAGATGCACAAACGTAGGCAAGCACACAAATACACAAAGATAAACAAACAGGAAACCTAAGCTTACAAATGAAGGAGGCCAAGGGTGTAACCATCCCAAAAGGTTGTGGACTAAAGGTTTGATTGTACCTGTAAAACAAGGGTTCTAAGAGGTGCCCAAAATCATTAGTCCATCTTTCGGATATTATCAATTTCTCGAATACTAGGCAGTTAACAATATTCTCAAGAGAACCTCTTTTGAGTGTAGCATCGCGTATCAACTACTTTAGGAATACTCCCTCATAGTCATCGCACTACGTCCTAAGAAAGGCCAAGTGGGGTTAAAGGTAACTAAAGGTCCCCAGTATCATAGGCTCCTAGGTTGAAAATAGTAAGTGTCTTCACGAATACTCGTTCAATAATAGCATTTCAAAGAGGGCCTCAACTGAGTGGTGATTCTCAAGTTAGCTTGGTCGGGAATCACTCCCTATAAGCCTTCTCAAATATATCACCTTCCTATCATAAGCAAACTCAAGTCCGGGTGTAGGACATTCCTCACCACACAAGGATATCAACCCAAAGCGTAAATAAAAACGAGCAGATAAGCAGATATATATAAACAATAAACACAAAAAAAAAAAAAAAGTAAAGGGAACCCTCGAAGTCGTAGGTCCCTAGTGAAGTCTCCATTTCTATCGCAGTGAGAATTGGATATCAAATTATTGGATTAACTTGAATCTTAATTCATGTTCACCGTCGGACTTTAATTTGTCCAAGGTAAGGGAAAAAGATCGAATTACCCATAAGATGCAATGTGAATGCAAAGCTAGAGAGTCTAAGGTTCGGGGGTTGGTTATACCTAGGGAAGGTGTTAGCATCCTATGAATCTGTAGTATTCTACAGGAACCTCTTGTTTTATCGTGTTATTGTTGTTTTCTAAGGGTAAAAGACCTAGTGGTTTATTTCTAAGTATACTCGCCAAGAAATTGTATCTTGTGCCTACATATCCTGACGGGAGTGGAATCAGAGTATTCGTAGTTCCCCTAAAAGGGATTGAGGAACCAATGACTGTGGTCAAAGTTCCAGGAGGGAGAAGATTTGTTGATTGATTCTAGGAGAAAAGATGAGTCGTCATCTTAAGGGAGAACACTCGACTTAACCACCACAACTTGTAGGAGATGGTCTTGGCGTCACATCGAGAGAAGGGCTCAAAACTCAGATTTATCGACGAGCATGCCACATACCTCTCTCAAGCAGAAAATATTCTACATCTCACGATATTATTATGGGGCAGGAGAATTATATCTCGACTATTAAGATGGATCACGTCTAATTCTCTTGTGGGGAGAATAGAGGTCTAAATTATACTGATAAGGTTTGTCTAAGTTGAAAAAAGATACCAAAGGAAACTATCCTATGTTAAGGTGTAAGGATATGCTCCTAAGCTGATCAACTTGAAAAGTCAATGATCAAGCGGGGGAATAGTGATGCAAATGAGATGGAATGTATACGACTTAGAAAGTCGTTTACAGATTCTTTCCTTGGACGTAATGCAAAATAATATCAAAGAAAATAGAGCAAAGTTACATCCATGACTCGGCAGCGTAATTTTAAAATTAACTAATCAAACTATGAATCAAGCAGGTTGAAATGCAGGCTCAAAGTTTCGAAGAAATGCGATCCAATTGAAATTACCAATTAATTATCAACCCTAAGTCACAACAATTACAAATGAATTTAAGATTGAACTTCAAAACAAATTTAATAATTAAATTTCAAATTTAAAATAAAAGTTGAATTTTTAGATCAAGGCTAATAATATTTATGATTGAATTTTAAATTAAAATTTGCTTTTGAAATTAAGAAAAAACAAAATTGTTAAATAATGGAATTAAAAACGAAATTTTGATAATAATTGAATTTCCAATTCATATTATTATAATTGAGTTTTTACACAGAGTTAATTATTAAATAAATATTTTTAAGAACAAAATTATTATAATTGTAACTGAATAAAAAAAGGTTGAATTTATCAAAATTTTAAGATCAAAGTTATTATAGTTATAATTGAAAAACAAAATTAACCAAATATGATTTAGTTTTTTAAAAACAAAGCAAATAAAAATAATTGAATTTGATTTTTTTTAAACGGACGGGGGGTGTAGGTGATTTGGGACATGCTTCTTAAATCCAGTGGGCCTACGACCCACAGATTTATAAAATGGAGGTCACGGGTCGGGTACCGGGTTTGGTGCCATGAAAAGGGGCAGAAGACTTGCCCTAAATCGAAATCGATCTCCTTTTGTCCACCTCTCTCGCGAACTTCTTCTTCCACAGCTAACGTAAAATTTGTTCAAAATTCCAACAATCGAATGAGGTAAAGATCGGAGTGGTGGCGGTGATTCTGTCGTTGATCTTTGGAAACATGCTTCAAAGAAAACGCCTTCAAGCTTTCTCGCGATGACCTCGGTTCCCCTGAAACAAACCTAGCTTCGAGTGTATTGTAACTGTGGTTTATTGTGTGTGTGTGTTTTTGTTTTAAAAAAATAGGTTCTTGTATTTCCCTTTCCCTTTCTGTGTAAGCGTTTTGCGAGCCACCGAAACTGCCCCCTCTCTATCTTCTGACTTGGTCCTCTTATGTGCAGGTAAAGATCTATGGGAATGCAGCGTTAAGGCAAATAAAGGATCTTTCCAAACTCATTTCAGCGTATCATCAATATGTCGGAGAGGGTTGTTGGCGAATTGATTATGGGTGTCTGGCTGATAAATGCGTTGTAACCAGTATTGATGAAGGTAACACGTTTGGGACATGTGAGATTTCCTTTTCGGTTTGTCATGTCGGAACCATTTAGGAAATTCTTTGAAAAAAAGTTGAATTGTGTTGCATCCCCAGCGCATTTACGGATTAATTTGGAATTAAATGCATGTTTTGGATTTGAAATGAGGTTGAAGCTAAATGAAGGTTTCGTTGAAGCTTGGTGGATTTGATGCAGGGTTTTATCTTGCTTCGGAAAAACTTGGGAGAAAAGTGAAGATGAGGCTGCTATTTAGTTTCTTTGAAGGAGTAATTATGCTGAGAAAAAGCATTGAAGCTTGGCAGATTTGATGTTCGGAGTTGCTGTCGTTTGATGTGTAAGTGTTGTTGGATGGAAGATCATATTCTCACATCGTCGTCCTCTAGCAAACAGGGTATGCTCAAGACACCTCTGGCTTAGAAAACTTGATTTGTAGTAAGCTTTTGGCCTGTTTCTTTACTGGTATATACATTGGTGTGTATCTGTGATTCAATAATCCTGCTGATATATTCCTCTTCCACAATAGGTATGTCGTGTATGTTCACAATAGGTATGTCGTGTATGTTCTCCTTTATTTAGAAAGCAAATTTTCTGTCTTAACACGTCCTGTGATGGAAACTCTCTCCTTCTGTGGGGACATGTTCTACAAGAATTAGAACATTCCTTTTGCATTTGAGACAAGTTTGTGAACTTTGATTCAAAATCTAATGAACATAGTCATAAATCGTGAGATCCTTGTTTTGCTTGTGTTTTGCAGCTGCCTTGGGAAACTTGGACAAATTATTCATTTGGAAATTATGTTCAATTAACCTCTGCAATGGTCCTGTTGCTCATCTGCTAGTTGAAGGCTAAATGGTACAATGTATTACAGCTTGTCCACATTTGTTTTCCACTAATACGTTCTGATTTCGATTGCTTTGTACCTAGGGTTGGGAGGTTCTAATCCTTGCAGTCTGACTCGTCCGAGTACCAGACAGAACCCTCGGCGTCATGCTTGCTTAGGTGCTCTAAATGTGTCTGGTTCCAACACCTTCTAGCGGCAATCTAACGTAGTGACGGCATGAATTGTACATATTCTACTGTAGGTTTCAGGTTTTAGGACCAAGTTGTGTAAACCAAACAATATGCCCTTATCTTGTAATGAATCTTTATGGCTTTAACAGTGATGTTGTGTATAATAAAGATTGCCGCTTACGGCATATGCCCTTGGATAAATGATAATTTATTTGTAAAACTTCCGCAGTAACAAAGGATGCAATACCAAACAAATGTTCTCATATAAACATCTCCATTGCCAATCTTCATCATTATTTATTCTTGTTGTAATTCCTTTAATGGTTTTTTTTTTAGATTGGCCAATCATAGAATCTTGAATCCTTAAAAATATGAGATGCTCTTGTAACTTGATTGTAGATTCTTAATCAAATAGAAATGGTGTTTGTAATTTAAACTTGCATATCTTGAATTTATGATGGAGAACTAAATACTTTGGTCTTGACTTGAATTTATACCTCACAATGATTGAACTTGAAATTTTAAGGAATCTCTACTTGGTTTTAACAGCTTTAAACCAACCAAGTTGAATCCGAAAAGCTATGAACCAAGCTTGTTGGTGAACAAAAGTCTTGAAATCCTAGAATATAATTGAAATTTGGGTACTTGAATTGGATGTTCTCGCATCTGACATTAATAATCTGTATTCTACATGAACGTGACTTTTAAAAAGATCCCTTATAAATGGACACTCCAACCTTAGCATACTCACCAATTTAATCCACATGAAATGCACCAATTGAATTCAAGGTAATATGAGTTAAATGTTTCCACCATAAACCAAATAACACCACTTGATTAAATAGAAAATGTTGAATTCAAAGCGCATATGAAATGAACCTCAAATCTTGAATCCAAAGTCAACTCGTGCGAGAAGGCCAAAAGCCTCAATTACCATGAGCTTATGACCTCATCTCTTATATGAATCTTGTCTTGACAAACCCTTTCTTGACGGAGAGAAAAAACTTTGAGAATGATCAAAACCTTGATTTAAGGGGATGTAGTTGTAAGAATCCACCCGAGATGTCTTTAAAGCCAAAAGAAATCTGCACACACTCGTTAGTCAAAGTCAACAATGCGTACAACACCCATGCAAGGCATAACACAAAAGAGACGGTGTCTTAGTTTCAAAAATTAGGGTGCAACAACAAGCAGATATAAACATTATTAAAAGCTTAAAGAAATTATCACAATATGAACAATATTCTTTCTTTGTATTGTGGTGTTTCAATATTGTAGCTTCCGTTCTTCATAGATCATTCATACTTCTTTGATAATTGTTTTTGTTGTATGAATCGTTATGTCAATATCTTGATATTTCGCTTGTATTGCTCACTTATATCTCTATTTTTATTCAAGTCATCAAGTCCTTATATAGCCAGAAAAATATCAGTTGGATAGCAAATCAGGAATATCCTTTTTGATAGCTGGCGACTTAAAATAATTTCGTTATGCAGGGATGAAAATCATACACAAAAGTTGTCCTTTGTACCACCAAATCAGGGTAGTGGAATGGAACGTTGAAACGTACTGTGTACTATTTTCCCCCGTAAACGTTTGAGCATATCTTTTGTACATCAGAGGCTTCTGAATAGAGTTGATTGAAGCATGAGTAGAAGAGTTGATCACTGGGTCTTCAAAGTCTTCAGAACTTGTTCATCAAAACCTTTATCTTCAGAACTTTAAGAACTCAGTCTTCAGAACCCTTGGTCATTAGTAACTTAAGTCTTTAGAGTCATGTGAACATCGTTCAGCAGAACTTTGTCTTTAGAGCCTTCAACACTTAATCTTCAAAAACTCAAGTCTTCAGAGTCTTCAGAACTTTGTTCATCAGAACCTTGTCTTTAAAGTCTTCAGTACTTAGTCCTCAGAAGATAATGACTTCAGAAGGTAGAAAGCCTTCAGAAGTAAAATATCAGAGTCATGATCAGAGGAAAAAACTAAGAGAACATTGCAGCATCAACATATTGTCTTCTTAGAATCTTTCTGAATGTGAGTAGATCAGAAACAGACTTGCTCCTTATAGCACATAAGCGGCTTTGCTCAGATCAGAGTGACATTGCACATGGTCTTTATCAGAGTCATAGCTTTCTATATTAGAGTCAGAACCTGTTTGTTAATTCTTCAGAAAAATAAACATTAGAGTACCAAAATTGTTCCCACGCAAATACTTCTTTGTTATTATCAAAACTTAGAGATATCTGACAGAACCAAATCTTATTCTAAAACTTATAGCCATTTGTTATCCAATTTTTAAGTTGTTGCAAAAAGATCAAGCCATTGAGTGGCACGAATATTTCCTAGAGGCATTTGAAAAGATAAAATAATACTTGCAAGAATCGTCGATCTTTGCACCTCATGTTCCAAGAAGAACAATCATCATGTACTTGGCAGTGCTTGACGAATCAATGGGTTGTGTGTTGGGGAAACATGATGAAACAGGTAGAAAAGAGAATGTCCTTTACTAATTGAGCAAAAGGTTTACTGATTGTGAAACTAGATACTCACTGCTCGAGAAAACTTGTTGCGCACTTGCATGGGCCGCCCGACGCCTGAGGAAATACATGTTGACCCACACAACATGATTAATATCAAAAATGGATTCCATGAAGTACATCTTTATGAAACCATCTCTTACTGGAAGGATTTCCCGTTGGCAAATGTTGTTATGAGAATACGACATCAAATATGTCATGCAGAAAACCATCAAAGGAAGCATAGTGGCAGACCACCTTACCCACCAACCAGTAGAGGATTACGAGCCAATAAGATTCAATTTCTTGGACAAGGATATCATGGTCATAAATGATGATGAAGGATCTGAACAGGGGAACGATGGATTCTTATGTTTGACGGTGCTTTCAATGCTTTAGGACATGGAATTGAGGAAGTTCTAATGTCCCCGAAGAACTTTCATATACCATTCATTTCAAGGTTGTTATTTGACTATAGTAACAATATCTCCGAATATGAAGTGTGTGTCATGGGTATAGAAGCATCCATCGACTTAATAATTAAATTCCTTGAGGTATATGGAGATTATGCGCTTGTTATACACCAGGTAAAGAGTAACTGAGATAAACGACATCCTAGTTTAATTCTATATCAGAATTAAGTTTGAGGAAATGACTTTCACCTATATCCCTAGGGAAGAAAATCAAATGGCAGATGCCTTGCCTACTTTGTCAATCATGTACAAAGGTAACTAGCCTAACCACGAGCCAATAGTCAGAATCAGGTGTTTTAATCAACCTGCACACTGTCTATCAACGGAAGAAGAATTTGATGGCAAGCCTTGGTTCTATGAAATCAAACTCTATCTTAAAAAGCAAGAATACCTAGAAAATACCTCAATTGGGTATAACCGAAGGTTGAGAAGGTTGGCAATGAAATTTTTCTTAAACGGGGATGGGCTCAACACGAGAAATCATGACATGGTCCTGCTCAAATGCGTGGATAGATACGAAGCAGACTTGCTCATTAAGTAAATCCATGAAGGCTCCTTTAGAACCCATGTCAATAGCCATACAATGGCTAAGAATATTTTGAGGGTAGGATATTATCGATTAACCATGGAATGTGACTATTTTCATTACGCCAAGACGTACCACAAGTGACAGATCTATGCGGATAAAGGTGCACGTAACACCAACTCCTTTGAACGTACTAACAACACCATGGCCAATCTCTATGTGGGGAATAGACATTATCAGTCTTATTGAACCAAAGGCTTCAAACAGACATCGATTCATCTTGGCTGACATCGACTATTTTGCCAGGTGGGCCAAGCTGCTTCTTACGCCAATGTCAAGAAGGAGATAATTTTCCGTTATAGGATTCCCAACAAAATCATCATGATAATTCTATAAATCTTAATATCAAAATTATGAAGGATTTATGTGGAAGTTTCAAAATCAAACACCATAACTCTTATAGGAATTGCATCCTTATGTATTATCACTCATTCACTAGTTAATTTCTCATTGAATAAAATTTCTTCATCAAAGCTTTGTTCTATTAATTTTTTTTTCTGCTTGTTTGCGAAATTTCGAATATTTTTTATAAACCTTGCATTAAAAATTTGGGAATAATAAAAAAGCGTTGAAAAACAAAAATTGTTTTGATTTTGAAATGTATAAGGAAAACCAACAGTTTCTGGTAAATCACTCAATGCATACGACATAGGATCATCCACAAGTCGTAGTGACCTGATCAGAACATAAGTCGTTTTTCTTCCTTAAGAATTAACATGCAACTT